CTTCTCTTATATATATATACACACACACTAATATTATTAATTGCACTACTTATTCTCATTTCTATGTTATTATTATATGTTATATGCATTGTCCATTGCAATTCCTTTTCCATTTTGATTTGCTAGCTATACCACGACAATTACCCATATAACATATCAAGGAGACTGTTTTTAAGAATCTCATAAAAGGGTAACTTCCTCCTTTTTCTTCCATTTACAAACAAATAAAAACATTGGAGTATACCCAAAAACACAAATACAAAATCATAAGGGCTTGTTTGGTTTAGTGCACAGTTCAACTAAAAATAATCGGTTTGATCTACAATTTCTAAAAACTTCGTTAAAAAAACATCTGTGTTAAAACAATTGTCTTATATAATCGTTTTTGAGTGCCAAACCGAGCTAGCTCTAAGTTTCTGATTTATAAACTAGTGTAAAATTATCACACCTGCAATTATAAAAATATTTCATTATTGTCCTAATGATTTTTATTTTTATTTTTTTAATTAAAACCGTTCCCACTCACATACTTTTCTGTGTCCTTCCTGAATTGTGCCAATGGTGTTATGTGTATTGTCTGATAAATCAAAGTACAATATTTTGCGCGTTTGTAACGACTAACTTTTATTAAAGTAGTGGTATTGTCCATGTTTTGATGCCTAATTGTATTAGGCAACAAAAGAAACAATGTATGCATGGTCTGGGTAGATAATTCAACGTTGAAATTGTTGGTCACACGTGACATGCTCTCCTATTACATTAATTGAGAACACCATCACCACTCTGCTAGGACAAATGGTCCCAAACACATTAAATTTAATATATATATATATATATATATATATCATGATCAATCTCGACGGTCCCAATTACTTTCAATTTTGAGAGAGTGGTCCCTTGTAAAAAAACCTAAAAGCCCTGCTCAACTAGATGTTAGCAAGTACAGTGACTCACATGTGAAGAAGTGGTCGAATCTTAAACTAATTGTGGTTTTGTTGTATTATTTACTCCGCATGAGACAATTATCAAGCTCACGACAATTAGCTTTAAACCTTTAGGGTGTGTTTGTCTCAATTAGCTTTAAACCTTTTAGGGTGTGTTTGAATAGATAGGGGAGAATAGAAAAGAAATGATAGTATTAGTTATGAGAGAAAAGAAAGGATATGAATAATTTTTATTTATGTTTGGATAGATAGAGGAGAAAAGAAAAGAAATGATAGTTATTCTTGTTTGGATAAGATAGAGAGGAGAGAAAAGAAAAGAAATGATAGTAGACAAATTACTTTTTTACCCTTTCATAACCATAGGACTTGAATGGAATAATAAATCTGTATATTGATTTGTGGAGGATAATTTTGGTATTATCAAAATATTACTTAAAATCATTATGCTTTCTCTCCTATCTCTCTCCTATCTTCTCAAAATTGAAAAGAAAGCAAATAAGAGATAAGGAGGGATAGCTATCCCTTCCTATCTCTCCTTATCCCTGCACTTAACTTACCCAAACACAAACTTACACTATTCTCTCTTTTCTTTTCTCTCCCTATCTCTCCAAATCAACCCTACCAAACACACCCTTAGCCATGTTAAGATTTATTAGTGGTGTTGTTTGAACAAGGCCCTAGCTCAGGCAGTTCCTAGGGCTTCAAATTTGAAAGCGCCTCAAATTTAGGTGGTTGTCTCAGGTTCCAACAATTACAAAGACCTTAAAATTTTAAAATTCTATATAGAAGTTGTATTATAATTATTTTTGAATATTATTAAAAACTAATGAATATAAAAATTTAATAGTAGGCCTTAAAAATTTATATCATAAAATAAATATTTATTTCTCTCTCTTCTCTGGCGCCTCATCACATTTTTTTAATTAAACTCTAATCAATACCTAAATATTGGCCTCAAAGATTTATACCCTTAAATGACTTTTTTTTTTTTTTTTTTTTCCTCCGGTAATTAGCTCTTCTTTTTCTTCTTCGTATCTATCTCTTCCTCTCTCTCCTCCTCATACAAAATCTTAATATTGGGTCTCGATCACCACCATCATCGATGAATATGTTTGTGCGTCGGTAGTTGTGTACGGTCTCGTAGCTTTCATAGGGGACTTTGCCTCTAAATGGCAAGTGGTGGCGGTGCTTCTAATGAGAGAGACAGAGGGGGTATGGTCTGGTGGTAGAGAGAAGGGGTATGGTGGGTTAGAGAGAGAGTTATTTTGGTCCTTCAAAATTTAGTTTACAGGATTATATTTGTAATTTACAATTTTTTGTATTTGTTGATTAAGTCAAAGCTTAAAATGGTCATTTTTTCGGGTAAAGGGGTGTGTGTGATAACTTTTGAAACCTTAATGCGAATTAGTACATTGACCGTCCGCTGAGTGACATTAATCCAAACCTCAAGGGTGTGAGTGCAATTTATTCTACATATAAATATGGTTTTTTTTTTTCCTAATACATATAAATATGTTAAGATTTGACTTCTAGAATTCTCCAGTGAAGATACTGAAACAATTTAAGTTGAGTTCATATATAATTATGTGAAGCCTATTTAATAGGTGATCAATACATGAATTTGAACAAGGTTTTATAACATGGAAAATGCATTCTACGTAGTATTAATTTATGAACTGTGGAAATAACACACATTTATGAAGAAAATTCTTGAGAGGCATATATAAGAACCACACATTTCTTACTTGACATCATGAACCAAAGTATCCTTAATTCAAAGCTCGAGAATTTTCAATTTTTTTTTTTGTTTTTTCTTGCACACTATGAAAAGTGATTAGCTATTGAACCTAATAGTGTTGCCAATAAAAAAGGTTGGATCGTTTGAGGCTTGATTGAATTCTGGAGATAGGCAATAATCCCTGCACAAATGGTGCCTTAATAAAGAGGTAAAATGATTTTATTGCCCCTTTTAAGAAAAAAATGTTATTGAATATAAACATGTATATATTGTAAATTATAGAACTGCCCGAATTGTTAGTGTCTAATGACCTATTCCATACTTATTCACAAGGTTTTGGACAATTTTATAATTTAAGAATTGATATATTTTTATATTCAATAGCATATTTCTCAAGATAATATATGTATATATAATTATTATTGAAAGCAATAATTGTTAGGTACGGTACATGACGGAACTGGAATCATTGCCAACTGTTCTTAAAAATTGGAACCGAAACTATTGGAACATGATTCGGTTCCAATTCCCGTTTTTAATTTTTTATATTTTTAGCAATACCTTGAGTGACACATATATTTGGTAAATATAGGCACGTGTGTGCGCGCACGTGTGTATTTGTATTTTGGGTAAATATAAGTATATATATTAGTAATTATATAATTAAAAAATAATATATATAATTATTAGTACGATTACAATTCCTCACAATTCAGATTCCAGACCCTTGATTGTACTTTTTTTTAGTAGGCAATAATTATCTTGTTGATTCTATGGAGTGGCCATTCGTTTAACTAGAATATTCATACGTTGTTCTCTTTCTTGTTCATGACATTGCTCTAACCTATTTATACTCTTCAATATCATATAATACTATTTTTCCTCTCCTACCAGAAGTTGATGATTTGTTGCTTTCCAAAGCTCTGGCTCTCCTATGTTTTAAGGTTATATGTGTTTTTTGGAAGTTTATGACTTTATTTATTATGGTATTTTTTTCTTAATCATTATGACACCATTTATTGTACAATTAGTATTTAAGCCGAATTTTGTATGCTTGCAAATCAAAATAATTCTTTTCAATGGAATTTATTTATGGCATGAGAAAATATTAGGCAAAATGGACCTCTCCCAATGGATTATACGATTTTTCATTTTGGCTCAATTTGCCAAAATTATAATTCTTTATCAACACGTTCTTTGAGTTGTGATTTTTATTTTTTTTTAATTTTTATTATTATTTTTTGGAATAAAATAAAAACTAAGATGCCCTTCAACAACACTAATATTTAACAATTCATCCTCAACAAGAAGCTTAAAATTTAAACTATGCTCCTCCTGACATGGGAATGGTAGGTTGAATATGTTTGTGTGTGTGTGTATAGATATGTAAGTAATGATACGTGTTAAAAGGAGAAAACTTTAGGTGCACAGGTGGTGGTGATAGTATGCACAAAAGGTTGTGAGATCCAAAAAGTACCCGTGAGTGATGAGGTTTGGATTTTATTTTGGCACTAACTTTACTTTACATTGAAGTTGGAAGCCACTGTGTTTGGCTAAAGTGAATAAATTAGACGGTCCCTCTTTAAATTGGTGGTCATTTTCTAATCATTCCTCGTGGTACTAGTATTACGTTGGTTATTTAATATATGCTGTCCTATTATTCTTTTTTGGCTTGTTTCTTTCTACCTCGTGTATGCCACCATGGACCCAAATGTTTTCAAAATCAATGTATGGTTTAGTGACAAGACCACCCAATCCAATCCAACGGTTGAGATACGTATGTGTGTGACTCTGTGTGCATGCATAATGGCAGTACTTTAAGGTAGAGAAAGAGTAAGAGGAGGAGCAAGAATCAAATTCAAGAATAAAAGTTTGAAAGTAACAAAATTTAAATTACACTAAGTGAAAATAAGAATAAAATTGTGTAAGAGTGATGTTACATCCGTCTCAAAAAGTATGTGTCGTATTTGAAAAATTGTGACTCACAAATAACATTAATTTTAAGACGAAAGTAATATAATTTTAAAAAAATTATACCACCAATATATACAAATGCATACAGATCCAAAATTATCCGTCTTAAGCAATTACTTCTACCTCACATTCTTATGCAAGGACTACTAAATTACTAATGTAATGTATGTGGCAAGGTCACCTAATCCAACGGCTGAGGTAGGGATTTGTGTGACTGTGTATATATATATATATATATAATGCCAGCATTACTAGAGGTATATATAGTTATATATACACACGCACACATTAACGAGTAATAAGACACATTAACAAGTAATAAGAGGGCGAAAGGAATGGGCCATGGGTGGTTTGCTGTTTGTGTGATTGCCAAAAATCTGATTTGGAAATTTTGGTTTTTGACCAAATAAATTGAAATTAATATGTGGGTTGGGTGAGGAAGAAGAAGAAGAACCACTAATGAAGCTTCTTGTCTTGTGGGTGCATGGTGGTTGTTCTTCCTTGGGAGGCCAACCATTGATGCTCTCTCTATGTTGCTCTCTCATCCCAATTCATCAAGTCAACGCCTAAACTCAAACCCTATCCTCTATACAGGCTATACTATACTACCTTGTTTTCAGGTCATAATACATTGTATATGATTTTGGTTCACAAACACCACCACCGCCACTAATTTACTCTCTTCTTTAATGGTGTTATAATGCGTGTGTCTGGGTGTGTACAAATTTTCTTATATATATAAATTTGCAGAATATTTCAAGTCTCAAGAAAAATTGAAGCCATGAAGCAAGAGACTACTGCAACAAGAAGTAAGGGTGAGGGAAAGCCCAGCAGTGTCTCATTTTCCACCACCACCACCACCACCACCACAAACCCATCTCGTTTTAGGGTCTCCTCTAAAGCAGCAAAGGACTCACCGAAACCTGATACTATGAATGGGGAATCACCATCTTCCAAATCAAGAGCCAAGTCTGTTCCTCAAAAGCCAAGGAGGTCACTTGTTCTCAGCAAACCCAAATCTGGGGATGATGTTGCCGTTGTGGGGATGGGATCACAATCTCATAAAGGAAGGGACTTGGAGGATGTCAAGGGCGTGGTTCGGACCGGGAACCGCCCGGTGGCGGTGGAGCAATATGCTCGGCCTCGAAGGCAGCGGCCGCCTATGGATGCCAGTTCTAAAAGGAATGAAGATGATTTAGATGGGAAAAAGAAGAAGGAATTATTGCAGGAGAAGATTGTGCCTAATGATATTGTGATCAAGAATCTGCAGTCTGAGGTAATGGAGTTGAAAGCAGAGTTGGAGAAGATGCAGAGCTTGAATATGGAGCTCCAGTCTCAGAACAGGAAGCTCTCTGATAATCTTGTCGCAGCAGAAGCAAAGATTGCAGCTCTCACCCTTCGAGAACAGGTGAGAATTAGTCAATTGCAGTATTAATGGTTTTGTAATTGCTCTAACCTCTCCCATAATTTTGTTTTAATTTTTTGGAAATTATTATCATGTATCCATAATTGTACTATCTTTGTAAAACCCAGTTTGGTTTTTTTAAATTTTCATATGATGATTGCTTGAAAAAAGCTGCAATTTTATCATATACTATAACACAAATTTTGAATGTCTTCAGTCATGTTCTTACAATCAACACTTAATTTTTGTTTTTCCTTCTTTTTCTTTTTGTGTGGATGAAGAGAGTGTCAATTTCTGAGTACCAGAGCCCAAAATTTAAAGACATTCAGAAACTCATTGCCAACAAATTGGAACACCAAAAAACTATAAAGGAGTCAAACAATGAAGCAAGCAAGGGAATGATCATATCACCATCACCAGCAACACCTCCATCTTCCAGTGTTGCACAAGTACAAGGAAAGGTTCCAGATTGTCCCTCCGCTCCACCACCTCCGCCACCACTTCCACCTAGGCGTTCAGCCAGAGCAGCTATACCTCCAAAGGCTCCAGCAATTGTAGAATTCTATCATTCATTGGCAAAGCGTGACGTGAAGAAAAATCCTACAGTACAAGCGAGTTACAGCAAATCCGGTGTTAGCAGTGCTCACAATAGCATAGTTGGTGAAATTCAAAATCGTTCAGCTCATCTTCTAGCTGTAAGCATCTTATAAATTTATTAATGGTTAATTCTATTTTCGCTGATTTCATATTGCTTATAACTGTAATTGACTGACTATTCTTGTAGATAAAATCAGACATTGAAACAAAAGGAGAATTCATTAATGGTCTTATCCAGAAAGTGCTTGCTGCTGCTTATACGGATATTGAAGATGTACTCAAGTTCATGGATTGGCTTGACAATGAACTCTCATCATTGGTAAATTCTTCATTCCAAGTTTGTTCTAATTGTTAAGACATCATCAACTACACCAAAATAATATTGTCTTCCCTTCATGTTATTGGGCTACTCTCTTTATCAAGTCATAAAGATCTTTAGGCTTTCGGGGCTATCTGCAAAATAGAGTTGTTGATTGAAGATAGAATTAGTCTTTACTATTCAGTATAAAATCACCTAATTATTGTTGTGTCTAATTGATGTTCTATAGGGATATTTTAGATTTCATGAATAGGTGAATTACACAGCTGGTTCAATGGACTGACTTAAATGATTATTAGTATCAATGGTACATGCACATTCATAATTGACTTCTTATGTATGAGGTATCTTAGTCATTTTGAGTAGATTTCATTAATTATTAATATCACTTCTTGATGTTAAAAGAACATCTGTACTTCATATTGGCTGGCTTTAAGAAAACACACTTTTTGGAGCTAGAACCCTAAACATTGATCTTAGGATGATATCTGGATACCACTTGGACTACAACCCCACTGATGATTGTCCATGTGGCTTTGTTGGCATTTTTCATGTTATTTTACTAACATATGTATTATATAGTCTTTCAACTGTGAATTGGAGCATTGTTAGTCGTTGTGATTATAGTGCTAGGTGTGACAAGTTGAGAATGTGGGTTTGAGTCTTAAGAGATGGTCACTTTTTGAAAATAATGTCAAAGTCAAAAGATCATCAAAGCCAATCGGAATCTTATGACTTTATTAATAAGACCATTCCTAAGATGGATAATATCTATCTTATAATATTATGTACTACAAAGGTTCATGGGCTACTGCTGTGATTTCCAGACCTTCTACCCACTCTGTCCTCACATGCTCACAACATTCTTGATTAACAGGGACCACAATGCAACTGCCTTTAACCTTTTGTCATGACCCTTATTCCTACTTTTTCCGAAGACAGAATCTCACTGTCTTTCAACGAGTTTGATGCCAGATGCAACAAGGAACTTGATGGAACACCATTCTTTGATGTAGGCTTGCTATTTATCAGTTCATTAATAATCATTTGGTATTCAAAGCTAATAAATTACGAGCTCAATTGATGGACAGAAGCATTAATACCTGTATCCCCATGTCTAGAATTTAAGTTGTCCCCAATCCCCGTGTCTGACAATCAATATCTGCTCCGTTCTATTACTGTCTCAATTTGGTAAAATTGTGGACGCACTTTTTTCATCCCTCTTTCTTTATGGTAAATATTTCAAGTTTTAGGTAACATGATTTCCAGCTCTAGTTGTGAATCTTCTGGATAATCCTCATAGTCCTAATGCATAAAGTTGTTTGTGTCTAATTGGTTGGTGTTTTGGTCTATTTCTAAGAGGTGCTGAATTTTGATGTGGACATGTTGGTCAATAATAATATGCTGGTTGTGTTGTGGTAAAAGTTGCATTCTGGCGATGCAGATTACTCAAATCTGTCTTTGTTTTATTAATTTCTATGTATCTTATATTTTACAGGCTGATGAGCGTGCAGTGCTAAAGCATTTCAACTGGCCTGAGAGGAAAGCTGATACCATGCGAGAAGCTGCAATTGAATATCGCGCCCTTAAAATTTTAGAAAGTGAAGTTTCTTCCTATAAGGACGATGCTGGCATTCCTTGTGGAATTGCCTTGAAGAAGATGGCAGGCCTACTAGACAAGTATGAACCTTGAGAAAACAACATTCTGTTTGGTTTCTTATCCAAAGTTGTCCTGTTTTTAATTGACAGAGTTGTAATTTGTCCTTCTTATCATGATATTAGGTCGGAGCGGAGCATACAAAGGTTAGTTAAGCTCCGACACTCAGTTGTGCTCTCTTATCAAGGGTACAAAATTCCAATTGACTGGATGCTCGACTCCGGAATTATCAGTAAGGTTTGTTCTTTAAAATCAATTTTCTTTCTTTTAGGTTTATTTATGAAATTTGTGTCATGATATCATCTTTTTTATTTGTAGCGTTCGTTTCTTAGATAGTATGACTATTGTTTTAAGATCTCCTTTCATCCCCTCCCAACAACTAATTTTCCCCACTACCTGTCCGCATTTATAGGTGTAAGCTGTCCTTTTATGTGTTGTTTTAATTTTATTTTTTCTAGAAAGATAAATTTGTAACAGGTATAATCGGGATTTGAAAAATAATTTTTTTTTCGCTTCCATATGAGAAAGTTAATGACTATAGCTCAAGCATGTAAAGCTTGACAGCTTGTGGACATTTCAGCATTTCTTTTATTGTTTTTGTTGTCATTCTCCTTGCAATAGTAAACTGCTAAAGAGGTGATGGAGACAAACTATTTGTGGGGGTTTACACTTCAAGACAATAAATTGAGTCTTTGTTTTCTGCTCTATTCTCTTGTAATTCATCAATCCTGAATAACTTTTTATGTTATAAAGTTTCTATACTATGGCTTCTATATTGCCCCATATAACCATGTTAGACTATAATTGTGGTAAACTAATGAGTCGTTTGTGCTCTCTATTCAGATAAAGAAGGCTTCTATGATGCTTGCCAAGATGTACATGAAGAGGGTAACACTGGAGGTTGAATCCATCCGATATTCAGAAAGGGAATCCACACAAGAAGCACTGCTGCTTCAGGGTGTGCATTTTGTGTATAGGGCTCACCAGGTAATCCTTGAGTAATTTTTTTCATCATCTCAGTGGTCATGAAATTTATCTCAGTCAATCAATCCTTCATGTACCAAATACTGGAAAGAAAGTAGAGATAAGGTAACCATTGGGAAGAAGGATGATTCATGGGTAGGAGCAAATGTGTGTAGGTCCCTTCTATTCATTGCAAAAGACAGGAAATGCCGGAAAGTTACTGCTCTAAAGGCTGCACCTTTTGGGCCAAAATACGCTTTTATTTTTATATGAATATCACCACATCCCAAGTAGATTGCACTAAAAATGAGCCACTGGTTGAGATGCAAGGATGGGACAATCATTTGACAGGTTACTGACATCTGACTTCTAATACATGGCATGTGGTGTTGTTGGCAAGAAAAGGCATGGCTTCACAAATTTGATTAACATGTTTGGGATAGTTTAGTTTGTATATGGAAGTAAGGAATTTCATATTAGGGTCCCATCCTACACATCTTTTCCTAAACTTGTTTATCATTGGTAAGTTGTCTTTATTGTCTACTTAATCAGAGCTTTCCTTACTTTTTGAACAAAGCTTTTGTATGTGTATTTCAAATGTATGAAAGGCCCTCAAAGTTCTAATCTTCAGTGATGAATAAATCTAGAGTCCTAATAATAATTAAAGGCCGGGCTGCTTATCTTCGAAAAATAGCTGATCATTCGCTGGCTTTGTGCATTACTATATGTAAACTATCCCTAATTAATTCTATTATTTATTATACATTTCTGCAGTTTGCTGGAGGGCTTGATTCAGAAACATTATGTGCTTTGGAAGAGATAAGGCAGCGTGTCCCAGGACACCTAAGAGGATCCCAAGAATTGTTCGTGGGCATACCAACATCCTAAAACACCAATTGAGATCTTCACCCTCTCAGTTCAGTCCAATGAAGATTAGCAGCTAAGCCCTCAGTTTTCCTTTTCCTTTGCACCCGGAAACGTGTGGCAAATGTCTCAAGGCAATTCTACAGCTGCAGGCGGAACATGGTCAGTGTGGCTGGAAAATTAGTTCATTGACCAGTGATATAGAGCTTTGAGTTAAGTAAGAAAGAATGTAGCATATCAGCAGGTTCAGTTTTGAGATATATATAGCAGGTCCAAATGATGATGATGTGGGGTCTTCGCCAATCAAACTTCAGCCTATTTATTCACTAGAACGAAATTCCTTCACAATAGAGGCTGGAGCTGGCTGAAGGACCATTCCAGTTGTTCAAAGTTTTGAATATAATCCTGTTTTGATGGTTCAGACCAATCTATATATTGTACTCTTTATATATGTTACATAATGAAAATAATTTCATCTCTCTTTCAAGTGTCTTATCCTTTATGCTTGAAAATTTCCTTGAACTCCCATTTATTACAAGAGAAATTGTAGTGCACGTGTGGTGAATGTGACCGTTGGATAAGGTGTTGTTGGATACCCATTCCATCACTTGGCTTCAATTTTCAAAAAGTGGTGTCAACTTCATTGGAATGTAGCCTTCAGGTGTTTGGAAAATTCGTCACGGATAAGCATCAGGTTATCTCTTTACGAAATGGATGTTTGAAAATAAAAGAAACCTTGGGGCTAGTTTGGTAGAATGGAAATGGAAGGAAAAGAAAAGAAAGGGAGTGGATGGAAATAAAAAAATGTGTTGGGTATGAAATGTTGGATGGAAAGGAAAAGAAAAGAAAAGGAAGGATTTAGAGATTTGGAATAAGACGTGAATTGTAACTTTTGTTATTCTCTCAAAAATAGGAGGAAATGCTAATATTTTTAATGAAACTTTGTTAATACCAAATTTGCTCTTATTTTTATGAAAGACAAACTTTATGAAAAGGAGTTTGGTAGTAAATTCATTAGAATAGTTTCATTTCCTTTCTTTCTCCATTCATGATTACAATATTAATTAACCAAACACGACAAAACAATTAAAACTATCTTTTCATTTTCTTTTTTTCTTTTCCTTCCTAACTAATGCTATCATTTCTTTTTTGTTCCACTGTACCAAACATATTAATGTATGGAGCATAGCTTTCAATACGCAGACTCTTATACCCTCAATTTCTCTTAATACATGATTGCACAAAACAAATGGGAAGTCCACATGATTGGAAGTAAGTAATTTTTAGACCCGCCAAGCCAAAAACCTCCCACCGAACCATTTTAGCAGAGTGAACTTCTCTGTATATAGAGGTAAGATTGCGTACGTATATTAGACCCTCCCTAGACTCTGCAATGACAGGAAACATCTCTAGGTTAATAATTGAATGCTTGAAAAAAAAAAAAAATTAATAATAATAATAAAAGAAAGTTGCAAAAGCAAATAAAAAAGTGAGGACTTCTCCCCAAAGGTGAAAAGTGGGAAATGACTAGATGGAGGTTGTTTTGATTTGTAACCTAGTTAATTTGAGCTTATAAGTCCTTAGTGGTGTTTAAACACCTAATACTTTAAAGCCGTCCGGTTTGGGAGTCATTAACCTAACGCTCGACCTGATGGATCGCTAGAAAGCTTAATAGATCAATACATTGCACCATGCTTGCAGCTTTGATCCTCTAGGTTAGTACCAAAAAAAAAAAAAAGTGAAAAGAATACACGCACCTAGTTGAAAAAAACTTTTATAAAAGGTCTACTCTTTATTTTGATGATCGGTACTAGATTTGTGTGCTAGTTTGATGCCGAATGTGATTATTTCTTTAGTTGGCTTAGATAGCAACATATTTGATGCCGGTTCACTTAAAAAGGATTCTAGAGTTGTTTTGATTTACATGATCATTATCTTGATGTGTGGAGGACCATACTTGCTTGCTTAGTGTTGAGATTTTGGGAGATTACTTGGAAATGGTTGAAAAATTGTATACTTGAGGTAGTTTTCTCCCAATGCTTGTTTTGTATATTGGTACCTCTTTAGTGAGAAAGAGCTTAATGTTTGTGGGTATCATTTCTGAAAATCCTTACGAGACTTCACTCATTTACTAGGGGTAACCTAGGGGTTTAAAAGGCTTATTGCATATGCTAAATGCAATCGTGTTCCCTACGAAAGTGGCGCTATCCTTTTATTGCTTTCTAGTTCATAATTACATAGTTGTTTATTTCTTTCTTTTTCTTGTAGTTCATTATTAGGGACTAGCAATATCTATGTTTGGGGGTGTGATGAGTGCTCAAATGTGACGTATTTTAGCATTTAAGCGAGGGTATTTTAGTCCATTCATCTATCTTTATTTTCCCGTTTTAGTACTTATTTGTGTTTTTGTTTATTTCAGGTTAATAAGGTTCAAATGGGCTAAAAATGGTCTATTATAGCCTTTTTGGAGTCAAACAAAAATTCCTAGAAGATTTCAGAAAAATCAGGAAAAAGGTCAAAAATGCAGAAAATTTGGATGGATCGAAGATATTTTGGATCGATCGAAGTTTTGACCGATCAAAGATTTCTTCGATTGATTGAAAATGTGCTGGCAGTGAGCTATTTTATTCCCGCGCACCCGAACTCTACCTACCACATAGTTGCAGGATTAGATATTTTGAGGGATTGTTTAATAACTTGTTCACTACTCCAAGGACTTTATATAAAGGGGGAATTGAACCATTTTGTAATATATCTTTAGTCTTCAATATTATTTTGATTGTAATTTTATTTTCTCTCTCTAGAAAAGTTAGAGATTAGGGTTAGAAGAAAGAGAAGAGTTGAGGCATCAAGAGCACATCTCTAGATCTACACACACTTTATCTCTAGAATTCAACAAAGAAGAAGAGGAAGAAGATGGAGCCATGTTTGGGGATTACCCTTGAGGTTCCAAGATCATACCCACCTCCTCCATGATTGGCTAGACTTCTCCTTGGGGCTTGGATGAGCCCCAAGTTTGTAATTTAAACCTCTATCTTTTTCATACTTTTTGGGAAATAATATCTTGTGATTAATGTTATAGCCTTGTGAATAAAATGAATCTTGGTATAGTTCTATGGTTTCTATGGTTTAATTCTTCCTATTAATTCTCTAGTTTATTTACATGTTTATGTGTGATTAAATTGGGAATTATGTCTTACATGATTCATATGGTTTAATTCTTCCTATTGATTCTCCTTGTGATTACATGTTGTCTTATGTGTGATTATTTGGGAATTGATCTCTACACTAGTTTCTCTATGTTGGTTGCATGTCTATGTGTGATTAATTAAGGATCTAGTGATGGCTATGCATGGTATTCATTGAATGGGTTTGTCAATTAATTTGATGGATTATTCTTATACTTGATGGGTTGTTCTATAATTTAATTCATACTTGTAGATAGGTAGACAATCTTTACTTGATTTGAAATTCCATCGCTTATTATTGTAAATTCCATGATTCTCTAAATTAATGTGTGCTACAATTGTGACTAGTTTGATGGGTCATGCTTAGAATTGGTGGGTTGTTCTACACTTAGTTTATTTGTTGGTTAGGTAGACAATTCATTATTGAATTTGATGGTCTATGCTTAATATTGCAATTGGTAGTCGTATTTTGTTCACAAGAATATTTTCCCCAAATTAGTTGAAAGTGTGTGGTTTGGTGAACGAGCTTGGTGGCGATTCCAATAAACCCCAAGACCTTACTTCTCATCTCTTAAATCCCTAACTCAACTTAGTTTATTTTAATTGCATTTTAATTAATTGAATTTTAGTGTAATCAAACAATCAATCTCTCATTTGCAATCTTCTGATCCACTAGAGTCGAAGTTAAACTCCAACACGTATAATCCCTTGGGACAATCCCTACTCACTCTTGCTACGTTAGAAGTAGCGGTGATAGTGGTTTTTATTTAAACTTGACTTAAAAGGCTTTTCTTGAATCGCACATTCACTACATTATTTTGGCGTATACAAGCGGCCTCGTCATTTTTCTTTTATTTGAGTGAGTTTCATTTATTCTTTGGCTTTTTAAAGTTAACAAATTTTTGCACCTACACTTTGGCGCTGTCAGTTGGAATCGTATAGAAATATACCCCCACAAGTGATTAGAGATCTTTTATGCGACTACGATCCGGGATGTCAGTCAGAGGATTCGCAGCCGTAGCCGATCAACCTATGGAATTATTGCAGAAAATGCGAGAAGAGTTCTTGCAACAGTTCGAGAAGCTCCGTTAAGCAAACAAGGCCAGCGCGGCTCAGATTGCATTGCTTTAACTAAGGAATGATGCTCTTCAGATAGCCATGGAGCAGATAGCAGAACAACCACCACCACTCGACCACTTTATACCTCCTGCAGAAGGGCTCAAGCCAATGAGAGTCGGCAAGAATAGAGGACGAGAACCGAGACAGGAGCTTTGGAGAACCACCCTCAGCGCACACAGGACGAGCAGGCTGAGTCCAGCTACAAACTCTCAGTGTGGCCAAATGGCACTCAAGAGGCCTTCGATGAAAAGAAACTTTTTAGGATCCAGACACCGGCTGAGATGGCCAAAGAGCATAAGGCCTCTCTGGTGAAGACCCCATTCATCGATGAAGTATAATATGTCGAAAGACCTAGGAAATTCACCATGCCGGCCTTTACATAGTTCGACGGCATGGGAGATCCTTCCCGCCACCTCGATCATTACTCCCAGAAGATGGCTCTGTATAACCATAACGATGCATTCATGTGCAAAGTTTTCCCAACTAGTTTGACAGAAGCCGTATTAGAATGGTTCAACAAATCACAAATCAATCCCGAACTACAAAACTTTGTGTGCCATGTTCTTGGTGCAATACAGCGGTAATAAGAAGCAGAAAAAAAAAATATCGCTAGTCTCTTCACTATAAGGCAGAAGAGAGGAGAACCGTTACAGGATTTCCAATCTAGATATAACATAGAAGCTTCGGAGATAGCGGATTGCCACCCTGAAACAACTGTGGAAGCGTTTAAGATCGCTATGATCCAGGGGACTAAGTTCTATACCTTGATAGTCAAATAATCCCCTCCGGACATGCAGACTCTTAATGCTAGGGCGCAAGTTTGGTGTCAGTTGTCGATGTACAGCCAAATTTGTGCAAAATAGTGTGGCCAAGTTTTAAATTTATAAATGCCACAACTACCTCTAACTAAAAATATAGTTAGGGTGAGTAAGGATCGTCCCAAGCGATTTTTAGGCGCACTAGCAATGGAAACAATGCATAGGGTTAGTAGGTCGAGTGATCAAGAGATAGTGTGTTTGGTTGATTAGACTACAAACTAAACTAAACAAGTTCAATGTAGAATAAGCAAATTAAATGAAATTTAGAGAAAATAAGAGAGTAAGGTTTTGGGATCTAGAGGTCACCACTAAACATCATCATTCTAGACATTCAATGCATAATTAATGAGGGGAAACATATGTTGCAATTTGAGAGTATGTGATTGATTGTTTCAACAAGTATGGATGACCAATTAAGTATATATTGTCTAAGTAACCTAGTGAATAGTACAATACATCAAACTAAGCCATTAATCCTTCCTTTAAGCTCACAATCCAAATACATCACATGGTTAGAGATGTTAGAGAATAATACTAGTTGCATTCATAAGCATAGAACCTCAAACAACAAGTATGGATTGTCCTCCCATCTAACAACTAAGGCAACTACACTACAACTAAGTTAAGGGTATGAAAATTAAACTAAAGAAACTAAGAGAGGGGCACAATCCATTAAGACATGAGTATGAACCATCAAATAAACCACAATAGTATTCTATTAAGCACTATGCCTTGACAATCTCTAGATCCATAGCATCAATACACATAGACATGCATCAATAACACAAAAACTAGAGAAAAACACATGAGCATCTATTCTAGCATACATAGACATATGGATAGAATGAAATGATCAATTGAAAGTATTAAACCACACAAATCATTGAATAAACAAGATTTATATATAAAATAAGTGTCAAGACAAGGTTACAACACAAATCCCCTTAAAATACAAAACATTAGAGTCTAGAAGACATGCTTAGGGCTAACTCTAGCCCCAAGAAGATGTTTACCCACTCATTGAAGTAGTCATCCAACCCTTAAGGGCTATCTCCATGGTAAGAATGACCTCATTCTTGATGGAAACCCTAGACGAATGGAAGAACTCCCAAGAATGTGTCTCTAGCTTCTCCTCCTCTCTTTTCTTCCTCTCTAAGAATGTTTCTAAGTCTATGAGATGATATATGAGATATGTATATGATATATGATGTAAAAGAGGCTCAAAATCCTTATATAGGTAGGTCAAGTGTCACACCCAACGGTCTGGATTCGTGCACTAGGGTCCTTGCAATGATTTCACCATGAGCCAACTTTTAATGAGCTGGAACTTATTTTTTTTGGATTTGAGGAGGTTCGATCGATCGAACTATTCTGAGATTGATCGAACTATGCTGAGATCCATTGAATTCTGCAGAGATCGATCCATCCTTGGCGGCACCTTTTTGAATAAAGATTTGAATAAAGAAAAATCTCTGAGATATTTTAGGATATTTTGGGAAAGAGACAACAGTGGTAGGTGGGATGGTAGGTGTGGATAAGATCAAATATGTTCGATCGATCTAAGAATGATTGGATCGATCGAACATTGTGGAATCTTTTGGATAAGAACAAGGGCTTAGATCCATTTTGAAGTGTCCAAATCGATGTTGCTTCGATCGATCGAAGTGATGTTGAGATCGATCAAACTTGCTGATTCCCACACTTTGCTTCATTCTATTTCCACTTTGCTCATTTCTTCCATCCAGCCTGAGTTAGCTTCTTTAATGCTCTTATTTGGCTGAATTAACTTATTTTTGGGATAAGTGCCTGAAAAGGGCAATAACATGAAATTAGTTTAAAATAAGAAGGTAAGATAGATAAAGATCCTAGAATACCTAAGCTTAAGAGGTTTAATTGCGCACTTTTTAGCGCTCATCAAAGTTTACGTCCGACTGGAGGAAGATGTAGCCAACAGATCATAGCACGTCACGGTAGAAAATAAGCCTCAGGAAAAAACGTCAGTTCAAAAAACCAAAGAAGTCAGCATGCCTCGGTACCAACAGTCCAACAACCTGAAAAGAGGCAGAGGACCAAGGAAAGGTTGACCCCTCTCCGCACGACCTTGGCCTGACTATTCTGGGAGAACAAAGCAAGACTCACAGTCCCCCAACTAATGCGACAACCTCTGGAGTAGATGGTCAAAAGCAAACACTGAGCCTACCATAGGGATTATAGGCATACCACTAATGATTGCAGGTCCCTTCGGCAATAGGTGGAAACCATGGTAGCCAGAGGAGACCTAGAAGACTATGTCGAACTGAAGGAGCAGATAAGGCCGAGGGAGGTAAATCCTCGAAAATTGGAAGGCAATCAAGTGAAGGTCATTCACGCGATACATGGAAAGTCAGAGGAAGATCAGGAGTCAGAAGAGGTGTACCGCTCCAGATTGAGAGCAGTCCACAAGCTGAGGAAATTATCCTCGGTCAATACCATCACTCCAGGCAGTATCAAGATTGGGTTCGGAGAGGCAGATCTGTCAAAAGTACAGCTTCCCCATGAAGACCCACTCATCATTAGCCTTATGGTAGCAAACTACATGATTAAAATAGTCCTGATAGACCCTGTAGCAGCACCAATATTATAACTAAGACAATATTTGAGCAATTGGAGATCCCATCATCATCAATCAGAGCTACTTCTAGCCCTTTGATGGGGTTCGATGGAACGAAGGTAGACCTCATAGGGGTAATAGATTTGTCAGCTACTACCGCAAAGAGGACATTAAAGGAAAACTTTGTTTTCACAGAAATTCACCCTTCCTACAATCTCATCATGGGGAGGGGGTGGATTCACCGAATGAATGGAGTACCATCTACTTTGTACCAGGTAATGCGATGCTTGTCTCCAGATAGGAAAGAAGTCATCAACCTTTGGGACGATTAAGCCACTACAAAAGAATGGTTTATGGCTGAAGGGAGAAAGGAAAGGAACTAAAACATCCAGATCGGACGTAGCCTCCGAGGATATTACTAAATGGCAATTACATAGCCGTCTGCCTAAGTATCTGGAAGTAGAGGCAGAGGCAGCCAAATCCACCGAAGAATCTCTTGAAGTAGTCGAATTTTGTAATACCCCTAATTTTAAAAAGATAGTCTCGGTATTTAATTAATTATTTTATTTGCATTTTTAAATTATTTATTTAATTTCTTGGTTATTTTGTTTAATTGCTTATTTGACTTAATTATTTATGTGATTATTTGAAATAAATTTTTTATTTAAATTGCGTGTTACATGGTGTGTATGAAATTGTTTGAATGTTAGGTGCTTACTTGTAATTTATTTGTTAGGAATTAAATAGTAGTTTTTAGTTAGTTTTATTTTATTTTAATGGTTTTGAATAATAGGAATGGATCATCCAATTGAGTCACATGGACCACTTGGATAGGACACTTAATGGGTATGGATATTACCCATCGGAAATTATGCATATATATATGGGTATATATGTATATAAGGGGATTATATTTTATTATAATTTTTATCAATTTATATATATATATATATATATATATATATATATATTTTCACGTAACAGTTTATGTATATATCATGTATATATATATATATATATATATATATATTTTTTTTTTTTCTTTTCCCTTAAGATAGCTAACTTAGTATTTGATTGGGATTAGGGTTAGCTTATACTGTATAAATACAAGGTTGTGTCTGCCAAGGGTTTTAGAACCCTATTCACGTAATAGTGGAGGCAGAGAGAAAGAACAGAGAGTTTGTGAGAGAACGGAGAGAGGAGGAAGGAAAAGATTGGCCAAGAACGAAGGCTGAACCAAGGTGAGGAAAAAGGGGTGTTGTTCGTGGGTTGAACCTGATAAGTGTTCCAATATGACGCATTTTAGCACTTAAGCTAGGTTTTTTCAGTCCATTCATCTATCTTACTTTCATGTTTTAGTAATTATTTCTGTTTTTGCCTATTTCAGGTCAATAAAGTTCAAACAGACTAATAAAAGCCATTTAGCTCAATTTTGGAGCTAAGGGCAAAGTTGGGAAAAAGTCAAGAAAATTGCACCAGAGGAACTTCGAACGATCGAAGGAAATCCCGATCGATCAAAGATGGCTACAATCGATCAAAATGAGGCGGTGCCAGCTCAGCAAAGTGGATAAGGCCCAGAAGATATTTTTGATGACACACCAACTTCAATCGATCGAAGCTAAGTGTTCTATCGATCAAACATCTTCGATCGATCGAACTGACTGCTGGTAGTGAGCTGTTTAATTCCTGAGCGTGCCAGACTCTACCTAACTTGTGTAGCTGCGAATTTCCTCCAATCATAGACTGTAATTCTAACTTAGTGGCTACTCAAAGAGGCTTGTAATAGATTAATTGAACTATATTGTAAAAGATATCATCGAGTTTTTCTTATCAATTATAGAAATAGTTTCTCTCTAGAACTAGGGTTTTGGGAAGAAAGCAAGTACGAAGATGATGATGCCAACCTCGAAGCTAGCCCTTGAGGGTTCCATGACCACTACAATGAGTGGCTAAATCCTTCTCTTGGGGCTAGAGATAGTCCCTAGGCTTGCTTCCTAAACCTAGCCTTTATACATTTTTTGGGGATTTTAGTTGTAATTGATGTTTTGACCATGATAAATATAGATCTTATGATTTTTATATGATCTGTATGGATTAATACTTTCAATTGATCATTTAATTCTATCCATATGTCTATGTATGCTAAAATGAATAGTCATGTGTTTTTTTTCTTTTTCTAGATTTAATTAAATTGATGCATGTCTATGTGTGTTGATGTTGTTAATCTAGTGATGGTCAAGGCGCGGTGCTTAATTAATTACTCTTGTGATTTATTTGATGATTTATACTTATTTCTTGATGGATTGTGCCACATCCTTAGTTTAATTAGCTTAATTTTCATGTCATTAGCTTAGTTGTAGTGTAATTGTTTTAATTTCTTAGATAGATGGACAATGTAACAACCCTGGATTTTTCAACCCAGTGTGCCCTGTGATGACCCGAATTGGATCCAGAATGCGAAAGTAAAAGATGAAACAATGGTCTTAAGAGACACAATACGTCCCTAAGACACCCATGTGACCCTCAATGAGGACACGAAACCCAAAGAAAACAAATGCAGGGGCAACATTTCAGAAAGGGACAAGAATGAACCTAGGGGCAAAATGGTCATTTTTAAAACAAAAGTGGGTGCTACCGAGCACACCATTGGAAATAAAATGAAAAATCAATCAAGATGGATTCAAGAATCGCATGATTCGGAGTCCGGACGAAAGAGAAACGACAAGACGAAGAAAAATGAGCACTTAAGGCTAAAAGGGTAAAATGGTAATTATCCAGGAATATTCAGGTGCAACTGAGAACACCGTTGGATAGACGACGAAAAATTAGTCAAGTTCGAAAAAAAGTTCACTCGATTTGGAGCCCGGACGAGGGAGATATGACTAACGGAAGAAGAAGGGGCAAAAAAGGTCAAAATGGTCAACCCAAGACCATCTAACTGGTTACAACGCCTTCCTAACCGGTTAGGAGGCAAAAAATCATGACCACCACACTGCCCAAGCACATCTAACCGGTTACGAGATCCCTCCTACCAGCACACTTGTCCTACAGCTCAGCAAAAAGCTGACAGCAGGGGTTTTTCGACAAAAAAATGAGTTTTTGAGGGCCAAGATGACATTTTTTGGAAAAACACAAAGAAGAAACCCCCCTCAAAATCGAGTTCTTTTATGTGACTATAGAAAAAGAATTGAAAAAAAAGTCACTGCAAAATGCCAAAATTCCCCTCCATGAAATCAGGTCATGAAGGTCCAAAAAGCTGCTAAATGAAAAACAGAAAGCTAAACTTTGCGATGGATTTTCGGCACCGAGATGATATTTTCTGGAAAAACACGAAAAGGAAAACCCCCCTAATATCACGTTTTCTAAGCGATCATGTCAAAAGAAGAAAATAAAATCACTAGGAAAATTTAAGAATATCCTTAGATCAGATTATGCAATAAAAATGCGAAATAAGTCCATAGGAGGCTCAAATTGCCAAGAAAGAGGCTTTGCCCGGAAATGACCATGCACACAAACGTAACTTACCTATTTGGACGTGCTACAATGGTCCATAAGTCAAAAATATCACCGATGCAAAATTCGACCCCCCAACGGCCAAAAAGGCAAAAATGGACTTGAAATGGAAAACATGAAATCTAAAAATATAAAATTGGGTCAAATGACCGTTTGGCCCTTTGCCACACTTCATACATGATTAATGAGACCATATGAAAGAATAAAAATGGAATTCGCACACCCGATGCAACCATGGTGAGATAATGACTTGGCATTTTTCAATATTTTCATAATGTCTCATGAAGTTAAAAAGTACATAGGATACAAGATACATGTCATTGGCCTCCGGCCTCATCTCGTACATGCCAAATAAATTGCATAGAGTGTACTTATGTACATATTACATACATGGAATCAAATATACACATTTTGACATAAAAGGCTATAAGTGGCATTTCAAGCCAACCTTTACAAGAATTAAGACCTTCAAATCTACAATCATCCAAGCAATGATGAACATCACGAACCAAGTCTTCGTACCTGAAACAGCCCCCCAGTAACTTTGGGGTGAGTAAACAAGTTTACTCATAGAGAATGAGCATGCATCGACTCGATTTCTTTAGAGATTTTTACATTGACTTGAAACAATTCAAAAGGGTCATGCCACATAACGTCTATGTCAAAGGTTAGATTCAGGGACCATCCTAAGCTACTCATGCGATTGAAATGAGATACATGACATACAAGCAAACCGGTTACAAGTGTACTAAACGAAGATGAAGGCATGCAAGGTTATTATACAAAACATAGGTATACTAACGAGATTGGAAACACACAAGGCAAGTATACAAGACACGAGTATGCTAAATGGAATCTAGATACAAGAAGTAAGGGCACAGTTTCAAGTATACTGAATGAAGTCTAAATACACGAAATGAGCATAATGTCTATGTAATTAACAAGGTAGGAAACACTCTAGATACACGACAAGGTCCTTATATCTTTAAGAGATATCACTTGAAATCTAAGGGTTTAGAGATTTTGCATGTTGATATAAATCATTATATGTGGTCCATGCCACCTAGAATCTAAGTCAAGTTACATGTATAGGATCATTCCAGAGTCACGATAGCAGAAGGTAACATGAAACGAGATAACTAAGAAATTTAACAAGATTGGAACAATTCAATTAACACGACAAGTTTAATACATGAAATCAAGAACGAGGCAGAATATCTATGCAAGTAAACAAGGAAGGAACATTCCATATAACACGAAAAGGTCTTAAATCTTCAAGGAATACAACACTTGAAATTTAAGGAGTGAAATCACGGATGAAGCATAAAATCTATGCAATGAAACAAGATTGGAGCATTTCACATAACATGACAAGTTTAAATCTTCAAGGAATAGCAACTTGAAATTTAAAGAGTGAAATCAACCGATGTGGAAACTTGGATATTGCTCGGATTAAAACCGTACTCTTGGGATCACTTTAGGGCTACTAACCTATGGGTACCTTCCCCTAGTGCGCACTATAGTATAGGGAGATCTCTATCTCCCGTACTAGAACCAAGTTCTAGCCATGTCAATTCTTAATTGCTATCCCAAGTTCCAAAATCAACAAGTTGTGCAACCAAGAGTGTATCAAGATACAAGTAATGCATTAAACCACATTCCATGCACAACAAAGATTTTGGAACACGCAAGTCATGCCCCAAGTCATCAACTATAATGGCATATGAAATGTTAAGAAAAAGTAGTATGCATCTAGATAGACTACAAACTAGGATTTAAAACACAAGGAATCCATTGATGTGAATATACCACACGTATAAGACTAATGATTTGATTATTTGTTTAACAACTCTTGAACAATTAAATCATTCCAATGTAAGGATGCAAGTTCATTAACTACATTAATGGAGCTAAGTTGCAACAAGTCATAATACATGCTAAAAAGGCAAAAGCCCCATGAAATAAATGTCCAAAACATTAGAACACTAAGTAGAAATTAATTAATCTAATTAATTAATTTCTCTAGAAATCAAAGTTGTCAAAAAATTCTCAAAATAACATATGTGAATGTCCATTTCATGGTGATTGCAAATATCACATCAATTTCACAAAGTGAGCAAGATATAAACATATATAATTTAATTAAGTTAAAATTAATTAAATCTCTAGATTTCAAAGGTTGTTCAAATGATTCCAAATTAATATATATCAAGGATTAAGTCATGGCCATGCTATATATCAAGTCAAAAATGAAAAATAAGTAAGGTACAATTAAGTAGAATTTAAATCAAATTTAAATCAATTTCTAGAACTTGAACAAAAGCAAGCATACAAGTTGTTTAAGCATCAATAACAAGAATATAAACTATAACACCAAACTTCAAGGAATAGCAACTTGAAATTTAAAGAGTGAAATCAACCGATGTGGAAACTTGGATATCGCCCGGATTAAAACCGTACTCTTGGGATCACTTTAGGGCTACTAACCCATGGGTACCTTCCCCTAGTGCGCACTATAGTATAGGGAGATCTCTATCTCCCGTACTAGAACCAAGTCCTAGCCATATTAATTCTTAATTGATATCCCAAGTTCTAAAATCAACAAGTTGTGTAACCAAGAGTGTATCAAGATACAAGTAATGCATTAAACCACATTCCATGCACAACAAAGATTTTGGAACACGCAAGTCATGCCCCAAGTTATGAACTATAATGGCATGTGAAATGTTAAGAAAAAGTAGTATGCATCTACACAGCCTACAAACTAGGATTTAAAACACAAGGAATCCATTGATGTGAATATACCACACGTATAAGACTAATGATTCGATTATTTGTTTAACAACTCTTAAAAAATTAAATCATTCCAATGTAAGGATGCAAGTTCATTAACTACAT